TGATATTGCTCACACTCCAGGTGTTGCAGCTGACCTCAGCCATATTGAGACAAGAGCAAACGTTAAAGGTACTGCGAGCTGCTGTAAATGATTTATGTTCGTAGTGGTCTTGACTGGAGTGATTCTGTCAGTAGATATGATGCTTGGAGATGCCTGTTGCTGTGCTTAATGTGAAGGGGAATCCTCACATGATTCTGAAACCTACTGTTAATTTAAGTAGCTTTTGTCGAGTAGTGTATGACTGACTAAGGCTTAGTTGATAGATAACAAGCATGGAGATGCGGTTGCACCATTGAAGGGAAGTTCATAACTTGAATTTTAAATTTAAAAATGTGACTACAGATAGACTTAGCACCCTCTGTGGGGGGGAAGAGTTTGCCTGCGTGAATCCTGCGTTCTCTAGGTTTGTTAATGAGTTCTGATGAAATCAAAGAAAACTTAATCTTCTGATCTTCGTTCTATTTGACGATTACTTAAAGGAGAAATTTTATTTGAATGTGTCAGCCTGTCTGTTTCTTTCGCAGTACTGAACATAAAGTGCCAAGCCAGAGTCTTAAGAAAGTAACGTAAATGGAGGTATCAAGTATTTTCAAAAAAGATGAGCGTGGAGGGAGCCTCATGTTTATTCTGCAAGTTTTGAAACAAATAATGATAAAACATAAGTTAGGGTCCATCTCTAATCTTGTTGCTTTGCTTTTGAGCATAAGTCTGAATTGAAGGCTAAACTAAAAAAGGACTTGGGTGCCTTTAAGTGTAATTTTGTTTTTTCAACTGTTAGGTATTTAATAACTGACAAAATCATAATGCCTAAATGTCTTCCATTCTAGGCTTCTTGGGACCTGAGCAGTTGCCAGAATGTTTGAAGGGCTGTAACGTTGTAGTTATTCCTGCAGGAGTCCCTAGGAAACCAGGTAAGTTCTCCTTGTTAAAAGCTCCAGTGCTTCAGTGACCTGTATCCCTGCAGCCCTGTTGTTTAAATAGGGCTGTGTCTAGTGCCTTATGGACAGAGACGTTCTTGATGTTGGCTTAGATATGAGTGGTCTGATAGTGACCTAGAACTTGTGTGGTATCAGGCACCACGGTTAACTTCTGTTTCAAGTGATCACTTTTAAAATGGAGATCAACTTTGATTTCTGGAGTTTCTGTGTAAGGGTGAGATGCTGTGGCTGTAACTGATCCTGAAACCTCTCTAGTCTTTCTTGCATAAAACAGTGCTACGTTCAAAAACTTGTGCTTTGTTTCATTTTTCAGCGGAATAAAAATAAACCATTTGTTTCGCATTAATTGTATGAAACCCTTTCGGAGGATCTTTGGGTGTTTTTAAGCCTTCCTAGCATCTCTGATCTGTTCCATTTTTGCTCTGTTTTTCAGTGTCCTAGTGGGAATGTAAAGGAAGTTTGGTTTTTATTCCCAGCTCTTCCTAATTCTCAGTTTTTCATGGATAAAGTAGTTGCTGCAACATAAATGTTGCATAAACGCAACATAATTTACAGCTATTAGTACCTAGCACAAGGCAGTTAGTGTTAAGACTGCAGTGGTAGAGATGACTTCAAAGCAGGGGAGGGATGCATCCTAGGAGGAGTTACACTGCTGTGAACATCAATGATACTGATACAGGTCAGTACGGTGAGGATGTACTTCAAGCTGCCTAGATGAAGTAGGTTCTGACAATTGGTGCCTGAGCTGGTTGCCCCGGCAAAGGGCTGACCTATCTGAAAGGGCAATAATCTTTTATTAGCTAGAAGAGCTAGCCCGTTATTGCAGCTAGAGAGTTTTCTGGATATAGTAAACCAGAAGCCAAAGTGGTTGTACCCCTATCCGCAATAGAGTATTGGTTTTTGGTTGAGTCGCTTGCCCACTAATGAATGAGCCATGAGTAGCTTAATAAAATACTGAACTGAATATGTTTTAGGTATGACCCGTGATGACCTGTTCAACACCAATGCTAGCATTGTTGCTAATTTGACATCTGCCTGTGCAAAGCACTGTCCAGAAGCCATGATCTGTATTATTTCTAACCCGGTAAGCATATTCTGGAGACCTTGACTATGCAGAGAAGAAAACCCAGGCTGGGAGTGCTAGAGTAACCTGTGAGTTCCTGTCGTGACATTCAGTAGTATTTTCTCAGCTATCGTCTTCAAGATCTGTAGAATATTTGCAGAAAAAAATCCTAAAAGCCTGGTTCTAATTACCATTTTGCCTTGGGCCATACTGAAGTTAGATTAAACTTGGGTATAAAAATGCTTAATAACTCGCATCTAGGTGCCTGTGGCTATAATATGTACTGGTATATTAGCTGGAATAGAAGCTTTAGCTTGTTAAGGGAGGAGCCTTTATAACATGAATGAGTGAGTTATTGTCTTGATGTTTATTTAAGATGGAAGACTTTTTCCAGACTGGCTCTAAACTACTCTTTAATTTAGGGATTGAAATAATTGGTTAGAGAAGACTTCAAGCCCGAAGTTTACTTTGGGTTGTTTACTAGCCTGTGCAGTTTATGCGTTGGCTTTGTTGTTGTACTGTTTTTAACGTGTGGTTACTTACCCTTGCTTGTAGGTGAATTCAACCATCCCAATAACTTCAGAAATCTTCAAGAAGCATGGTGTGTATAATCCCAACAGAATCTTTGGTGTTACAACACTGGACATTGTCAGAGCAAATACTTTTGTGGCTGAGCTAAAGGTAGGTCATAATAACAGATGAGGGAGGAGGGATGCTGCGTGCTTCTTTCATCAAATCTGTCGAAAATGCTTTTTAAATCACTGGACAGAGCTGAAGTGGCTCAGATGTCTCCAGAACTAGAGGTGAAGGCAACGCTTCTGTTCTCTAGATGAGCCTGGGGATAGGGTTTCTGTCTTGCAAAACGCACATCAAGAGATTTTGACCTTTCCTTTTCGTAGCTGTCCTCTGTGAGTGAGCCGCGTGTTTGCCTTAATTCTCTTGGCATTTTTGACTCTGCTGGTGCAACCAGAGAAGGTTGAACTGTAGTGCGTCTTTGCAAGCAAAGTGTCTGCTGTCTGTTACAGAATATTCTGCACGGTACTGGGAGGTGTAATAGCTTGACTGCTCTTAAAAGCCCTGGTGGAGCTTGTAGTTCTGCTGCTATTTATCTGAACTTGCATTAATGCTATTCTATAATTGTGTAAAGTCATCAGAGTAACGTGGAGTTCAACTGTGCAGCTTCAGCTTTGTCCCCAGAGCGTAACTGCCTCTGAAACTTCTGCTCTGCGTAGCACGGAGTTATACATGCGTCCAAATGGGCAAAGAATGAAGCATGGTGGCTTTTTCTTATCCATACGCTTCAGAAGCTTAAGTGTCATGTTCTCTTTAGGGTTTAGATCCAGCTCGAATAAGTGTTCCGGTGATTGGTGGCCATGCAGGGAAGACTATCATCCCTCTGATCTCTCAGGTGGGTCATAGTAACTGCTGCGTGTGGTATTACACTATATGATATTCCTCCTCAATACATAAGAGTTGATGTGAAGTGCTTTGGTCGTGGCACATAGCCTGCTAAGGTACAGCATACGCAGTCATCCCTGCTTTTTTGTGGGTGCTTTTCCTCTGAGATGAGGTGCAAGATTTTGAATGCTTTTGAGCCAAATCTGAACTCCTCTGGGTGGTTTAAATACCTCCAATCTTCCTTTCCTAAGGAGTTCTGGGATAAGAACTGATGAGTAATGTGGGTGCCAAGATATGCTGGCACAGTGGGGTTTTTTTGGTGCTTTTTTTGTGATGGCTGTTGAGTGTGATATGAATGCCTTGCTTCAGTGGGAAAATGAAATGCCTTTGCCTTGGAGGACTGGAAACACTGCTTCAACACCTAGAACTGAAATGAGGAGGCAAAGCTTAAGTTGTGTGGAGAGGCCTGCTTCAGTAATGACTGGTAGTCAGATACATGTTCCCTTCATGCACACCTAATGTAGAAGCTCTTGGAAGAATGCAATGCAGTTCTAGAGCAGGTTGTAGCTTCCTGAGGAGGTGGCTAGAATAGGTACAGCACAAAGGGATGCTAAGGAGCAGTCTGCTGGGAAACGGGAAAAGCTAGGGAATAAGAGCAAGGGCTTTGGTGCAGCTGAATCCTGAGGAGGTGCTTGCATTAGCACAGCCAATGGGGACAATGACAGCTGCTCTTAACATACTTGCATAGCTGTATATGAAGGTTCAGTAGCTTCCTAAATACCTCTTGGAGACTGGATCCTTCATAAGGCTCTTGACTTCCATAATGCCACAGTGACCCAAATATTTAGTAGGTGGCTTTTTGAAATTCCTAAGGCCTGTTACATGCTTGGAGGACAACTGTCTAGTGCGAAGGACCACAATATAGAAAATAAGGCCTGGCTTTGTTGTCAAGCTGCGGATTGTTCTCGAGCAAACTAGGCATGATTAGGTTACTGTGATAATTCATACAGTAACTGGAAGCTTTAATGGACTTCCATAGCTGATCAGTCTGTCATACAATCTGTAAGCTGGGGTAACTGATTGTCCTAGTTAAGAATGCCTGGAACAGCAGCAGCTGTTCAAAAGACTCTATGTGGGTGGCTTTATGCTGAATCTAGAGGGGTCCTGGTATTTGATAGTAACGTTTTCTTCTGTTTTAGTGCACACCGAAAGTGGACTTTCCTCAGGATCAGCTGGAAAAGCTTACGGGGAGAATTCAGGAAGCTGGCACTGAAGTTGTCAAAGCTAAAGCAGGAGCAGGTTGGTTTTTGGCTACGGCTTTTAAATAATTTCTTGCTGACCAACTAAATGGAGGCAGTACCCTTCAGTTTATTCATGTCTACAACTGTGATGCAGAATTATGAACTGCTGATTACAAATCTAGCTGCTTTACCATATCGCAGTGGTAGTAGAAGCAGCTCAGTATGTAGGTGAGACTGAACGTTAACTGATCCCACAGCATGTTTTGCTTTAAAAATCCTCTTCTCTATCAAATTAAGCTGTGGCTCCTTTAAATCTAGTCAACTACCCAGTGTGTAGCTGACCAAAATCTGCTGCTTGGTGATAAGATTGAGGCTTATGGTCTTCTGTTGCCAGTACCCAGACTCTGCCCAGGGACTGCATCTAATTGCAGACGGTGGAAGTACAGCTGTAATTGTCCTTGCCTGTATGAGGCAGGCGTGAGGAATGACAAGGGGAGGATTTCACATATGAACGAATACTGTCTTCATCCTTGTGTGTATGCGTACCCTTAAAAGTGGAGGGGCTAGAGAGGTAGAAAGAAAAATTGCTGGTAGTAAACCTTGCTTCACAGTGATTTATCAAAGTGGCTGTGAGCTTGAAGTAAATGGCACTGTAGCTCTGTAAATTTAGCAATGTGGAAGCCTTTGGATACTAAAGAAATGGATTTAAATGTAATCTGTTCTAAAAGTGATTCAACTCTTACAGGATCTGCCACCTTGTCTATGGCCTATGCTGGTGCTCGATTTGTATTCTCTTTGGTGGATGCAATGAATGGAAAGGAGGGGGTTATTGAATGTTCCTTTGTTCGATCAGAAGAGACAGAGAGCCCATACTTCTCTACACCTCTGCTACTCGGAGTATGTATTTTAAATGATGGGGCTTATAAACAGCAGTTACTGATTTAGTCTTGTGTTTTTAACTCTGCACTTCTGTTTAGTGCTTTTAACTTTGTCTAATGCGAAGATTTGCTACAGTTGACAGTTGAGCATACGTTTAAGAGTTCTTGAATGTTTTGGTATTGTACTTAGGCAGGCGCAAGCCTGCTGCTTCAGTGAGATGCTGCTGCTTTTATCTGATCTTAGACTGCAGCTCACTGAGTAACCAGCATTTCAAACTTGTCTTAAGAGGTCACGTTGACTGCAAGTTGGTGCCCATTTATGAAGGGTTTTCAGATAATTAACCAAAAGCGGCAATGTGATTGCCTCAGCTTGATCTGCTACAAGCAAATGCCTCACAAATTGAGGCGTGTGTGGAAATTACGGCATGGATTAATAGATTACTTTCTGGAACTCCACTGAACTCTCTTAAGAAGTGTTCCTTTGTCATCCTCCCCATGGGTGGGGTGAAAAACAAAGAATCTGCAGCCCTGGCAAGTCGGCTGGGATGGAAAGCGCAGTGTATGTTGCCTTAGGTGCTAACTGGTGAAGGAATGGAAGTGGAGGGATGTTAAGAGGAAAGGGTTTTGGATGTAGGCATAAGATCTGGAAAATCTAGGAATGCAGCTCTGAAGCAGTTTCAGATTGCAAGCCAGTGGCAAATGAGGGGCTTAAACAGTAGGAGAGAATTCCCATGCAGAGCTGCGGTACTGAACACAGGATAAGGCTCAAAGGAGCAGTTGATATCCGTCTTCTCTTGAAAGCAGTGAGTGGCTAGCTGCAGGTTTCATATCCCAAAGTGAGCAGTGAACGAGAAGCTTATGAAGGCTGTAAAAATAGCTACAGATAGCAAGACGCTTCAGAGCCTTGCAAGGAGGCACGAGGCTGGCATGCTGTACAGACAGTAGAGGTTCTAGGCTGGGTCTCCATCTCAGATGGATAACGAGTAATCAGAGCTGTTAAATTCTCTAGGTAATTAAGTGAATGGTTAATTCTTAAATCATTTTTCCCCTCAGAAAAATGGAATTGAGAAGAACCTAGGTATTGGCAAGATCTCCCCCTTTGAAGAGAAGATGATTGCTGAGGCCATGTCTGAGCTGAAGGCTTCTATTAAGAAGGGAGAGGAATTTGCAAAGAACTTCAAGTGAAGAGTTGATGATGGAGAGGAATTGCAACTTCCTTAATTTATTAAGGCATCATGTCACTTTACGACTTCTGATTCAAAGCTCATGCTTTGGCTGAAGTTTGTGTTAGTTAAACGATTGTCGCCAATGCAGATTCTAATCATCAATAAAACAGCCTCATTTTTTTCAGCGTACCAACTGGAATTGTCCTAATGTGCTTGTCTTTGAAGGTGGAAGCTGCAAGTATCTGAAAGGTTATTGGTTCCAACAGTAATGATATCAGCCTCTTAAAATGGGTGACCGACTTATTACATCTTGTAAATAAGAGTTATCCCAGGTCATTCCTTTGCAGAAGGGAATGTAATAGTACAGACTGACAATGATGGGCATTTCAGGACTAAGAAAGCCTGAAGTCATATTCAGTGTTTAAAACAGTCATGCATTTCCTCCTGAAATCATGAGATCTTAAAAGATACGTACTGTTCTTTGAACAGAGCTAGTGGAGCAAGAGGGGCTCCTCCAGCCTAAGAAATTCACTCGGATCAGTCCTTGTGCTGATTCCAGACCTCCTTTCTTTTTTCCACGGGTTTGTGAAAGTTGCAAAATAAACTGCCTTCTAAGTAAAGGTTGACATTTCGTACCTCTTTAAGCAGCTTCTCCCCAGAAAGCTAACTCAGGAGTGAAAGCAAGCAATACCAGCAGTACGTTGCCATAGTAACTGCTGTTGCCCATCCAGTCTGTCATGTGAAATGGGCAGTATCTGCATGGCCTTGCCCACCTGGGTGCTCAGTTACTCCGCAGTTCTTTTGCACGCTCAGCTGTGCTGCTTTTTGTTTTCGCTTGGGCTACTTGTTTAGCACGGCAGCCAAGAAATCGGATGTGATCAAATAGGTTCAAGGCAGGGTGAAGAGGCTTGTGAGAGGAAAAACCCTTCCAGTCAGGTGATCCAAGAAGTGGTTTTTCAAGGGATGGCATTGCCTGTTTATGTTGTTTTGCCTTAATCTCTTATATAATTTCACTTGAAAGAATTAGTAAAAGGGCACAACAGTTGAAATGTCAGTCCCGCTGTAAGGTACCAATAAAACGGTAAGAGTGACTTCTTTCTAGTTATGAACAAAAGCCTTGACTTATTCTCTAGATAGACTTTGGTTACGTTCATCCTCTGTGAATATAAAAATAAATGTCTGCAAGAAAATGGTGATGACAAGCTCAGTTTACTGATTTCTTTCAAGGTAAGCTTTAATGAAGGAAGCTATTAATTCGCTCTTCATCTGTGCTCTGTGGGCTACTTACCCTATTGCTTTGAATTGCTCTAATCCACCTAGGTTGAATTCTAAGCTGAATTCTAATACAGACTGTATTTTGATTAGGTGAGGGAAATGCCAAAGCCCAGCATCTCTGGTTGAATTAAGGGGAGCATTAGTTTGAGCAAGAGAACCTGGTGTAGAAGCTTCTTCTAAGGAAGAGACCTAGAGATAATAGGTACTGATTGGTCTCTTGCCCTTTTTTTTATTAGTATTGTAACTTTTATGAGTTTTTGAAGGAGTTTACAGTTCAAATATAGCTTGTTGATCTAGCTTATCGTTCCAAACTGCTCTGATCGCATGATTGTCATGCTGTTGAATATGCACTGAGAATAAAATGCTTGGCTCTTTCTCTGCCCTCTAGAAGTGCAGGGGAGAGAGATGCCAGCAAGCAGTTCTTGTCACTCGTGTATCTGCAGAAATTCAGTGCACCAAAGCTTTATTTCTTTATAGAAATAGTAATGAAATGGAAGCGTCAGCATATTACTCAGCAGGCTTGGAACAAAGTAGATGTTAAATGGTATTAATAATCAAGGAAAAATGGATTGAGGATTGTTAGGCATGTCCGTCCAGACCTAGTAAGTGCAAGGTGAACGTTGTGTTCAAAAGAAGGATAAAGGGAAAGCGCATGGCAGACTCCATGAAAAAGCAGGTTGCTGGATGTAGGGGTCCTTGCGGGAGCAGTTTTGTATCCAGAAATAGGCAACATGTATTATTAAAACAGGATGATTATCCACCTGCTGGAGCCAGTGGTCTGCAGTGAGGGCAGCCTCCTCAGCATGCGTCCCCTGGTATGCAGCTGGTCTAAAGGAAACTGCTGACACAGCTTTCTGACAACCCCTGGGCTGCTTGAAAAGCCTTTCCTCATAAGCAGGAGGGAAATAATACACACTTGTTCTAGTCTTGCTATTTTAAACAGAGCAGGTTTCTGAGGTGTTATTTGTTTTTTTGAGGTTCATGATGTGGCTTAGGTTATTCCATCTTTTTCTTGTGTCAGCAGTCCAAATCCAGCAGAATGTGGGGGAATTGCAGGAACAAGCAGAAAGCTGCTTTGCTTATTACAGCAGGGACCCGGGGACAGTGTGAGTATGTGGAGCTGAGGTGGGAGGGAAGAGGATTACTCCCCAGGACCTGCTGACTAGCAGATTCTTCAGGGTCTCCTTCAAATCCCCTTTATGATACGATACTGTGCATTTCCCTGTTTTGTGTCCAAATCCCATGCCTCATGCTTGGAACAGGGTTGCAGCCGTTCCCTCTGGCTGGAAGTCAGCTCTCCTTTTGCTGAAATGAGACACTCTTAAGGCTTCCTGCAGCAGAGAAAGAGGCCAAGAGCAGGATGTTGGCTGAAGGTGAGAAATTAACTTGTGCAGATGTCCTCTGCTTGGCTGAACACGCCGTCCGCCTGGCCTAACATCGCTGCAGCAGATAACTTGATTGCTATGAGGACTGAAGACAGTTTGTATAGGTAAGTGCGGGATCATCCTACCCCTTCTCTCCCTTCTGAACTCCAGTCCCTTCTGAACTCCAGTCTCTTCCTCTGCTTGCTCTCATCGTCACTGGGAGGTATGGGATTTGTGTCCCTGACCAGCCTGGTCTTTATCCCAGAGAGCAAGTGAGTCCTGCACGGGGAATTTGCACTTAGCTGTTGCTCCCTTGAGAAACAGATTCCCTAGAGAAAGAAAGGAATCTAGTGGCAGCCCTCCTCACTGATAGGAGAAACAAGAATTAATTGAGTGTACCTAATTAAGCTGACACTGTGCCCTGGAAGTTATTTCCTGGTGTTGTCTCTAACAAGACGCATGACCTTCATCCTATGTCCTGTGAAGTACTGCGGCATAGCCTCCTTGCTGAGTCACGGCACCGGCTCTAATGCCGGCAGCCGTTGCTTCTGACCACCTGCAGAGGTGAGTACGTGGCCGCTGGGACCAGTACAGGGCTGAAAGGAGGCAAAAAGCTGCGCAGCTCAGATCTGCTTCCATCCTGCTTTTCTCTGGTCTGCTCCATCTCCTGATTTAAGGAATGTCAGGACCTGGTATAACACTCCAGGCACTGGAGAGTAGACTAATTCTGATGTGAACCGAGATACCCTCCCCTCAAAAAGCATGCTGCCTTGTGGGAGTTGACATTTGGGGAAATCGGACTTATCTTACCAGCGGTGTCCCTTCTTATAAAGCTGCGTATCACCTCCTTTCCCTCGGTCTGTTGCAGAGCCTGGCTCCCAGAGGAAAATGTGAACATCCATACGCAATGCTTCTGGATGTGGGGGAAGAATGTAGGGTTTTTTTCGTAGAAAGAAGGTGCTTTATCCACGTTTACAGTGGGGTAGGAGGTCCAAGTTTGCCTGAGAAGCTGTTTTCAATGAAAACCCTTAAAGTATTCTGTGACCCCATGTCCTCGATTGAGAGGAGGGAAATGGAGGCAGAGAAACTTTCCGGGCCTCTCAGAACGGTGAGGGTAAGTTCACTCCTAGTTGCTGTGTGGTTCAGTCACTCCAGCCATATAGATTTAGAAAGCAATAAAGGCCGTGTCTTGCACCCATTTCTACTAAGCAGGCTTTTGTCTAGAGATGGTCTTTAACCATCTGACACTTTCCACTGCACCGTCTTTTATGTAAATGAAGATGTCTCCTTTTCAGGCAGCTGAGCTCCGCCTGGAGCGCAGATGTTAAGATTCATAGGAGATGCATATTAAGAGTAATAAATAAAGATATGCCAGATGGCCAGATGTCAGGTCACTTGATCCCACCTGCCACTTCCGTGCTGCTGAGGCAACGTGATGAAGAACAAGAGAGGATCAAAAGAGAAGAAAAGCAAACGGCAAACCTTCTGGCTAGGCTGTTCCGCAGCGATCAGCCTCGGCCCCAGGGTCGCTTCAAGCTGAACGACCGCAGGAGCTGAGTGCGGCCTGGCAGCGTGGTGTTCCAACTCCACGCTTATTTCTGGGAAACCTGTTTTCCCTTCCTGGAGCACCAGCATGCTCGTTTGTTTAATTGTCCTATACTTCGGGGGGGGGGGGACCAGCATCCGTCCCTGTGTGAAGCCTGCCAGAATCGTGCCCGCGGCCTCCGACAGAGCCCTAGACCGTGGTGGCCCACGCAGCAGGAGGGCTTTCAGGGCAACCCCGTGGGAATAACTGCTCGTGCAATATCCAAGTCTGTAAGGAGACGTAACCCTTCAGCAAAACCCAGGCCAGGTCTGGACATCTGCTACTGTCGAGGTGACCCCCCACCCCAACCCCGGCCTGTTTCCTCCCGGCAGGCTCAGGGCTGCGGGAGCCGGGAGATGGCAGCAGCAGCTTGCCGTTGGGCAGGGCTTTACCCAGGCAGCTGGCCTGGCTGAGCCTGGGGACAACCGCTGGTATTTCGGTGATATTTAGGAGAAGGGGAAACAATTACAGGGCGACATTTGGGTGCAGCCTCTGCCTTCCCAGAGCTGGCTGGCTCCCCGGCT